TACAGGAGAAACCAATACCTCCCTGTTCCTAAGCCAATATAATTTCCACTTGCATTCTAAATGTTTATGCTTATACCCACATTCAGGGTAGCTCCCACACCTCATAAGAGAAGCTTCCTGAGGAAGATGTTTTGGAAATCACAGAAACCCACAACTCTCCAGAAGTTTAATGGTCTCTGACCACACACTATGGGTAATTGTAGAGTATCAATAACATGTTATGACCCATTCTTGTGAGTGCCACTGAGATCACCAAAACTGGTCAAAACAGTGACAAGTGGTATTATGCCTATCCACTACACATGGGTATCTCTACAACACAAATTTTATACCTAAGATTTAAGTAAGGTCAAGGAAGTCACCCAGCTATCTCTGGTCAAACCCTATCTTGCTCTAAAAGTGCCATGGCCTCTCATTCTCTCAACCTTAGCAGTCAATAACTCCCTTCAGCCATTATGGCCTCTAACCCTCCTGAAGCAACAGGGTATAATGACAAAGGGTTTCATATGCCAAACAGCTCAATAAATGAGGACACTTCCTCACCTGAGACATGGATCTCCAGAAGGTTACTGGACTCTGACCATACATATCGGGAATTTGTATGGTATCCATAACATCTGAAGGGCCCTTTCTTGCTGTATGTCACAGAGATCTCAGGAAACAGAGCATGGAACTTTGTTTGATTTGTGAACTGTGTCTTTTGTGACGTGGGGAACTTCAGATCTGCTCCAGTCAAAATGAACCCATCGTATTCTTTGGAAGACATACATTGAAGGGTCACATTCCCACCTGAGGTCACCACAGGGCTGGGCAAAGCTGACAGAGTAGGTTTGCCATCATGGACACCTTGGAGAGGAGGAGAAACCTGTTACAATAAACACAGGCTACATTGTCTGCAGCAGATAAGCAATGAAAACGCACCTTTGGGAGATTATTTCTTGAGGACAGGGGCAAAGGTTGTGGCACATAGTGACCTCTTACCTGTCACCACCAGTTCCAGGGTGTCACTGCGCTCTGTCCAGCCATCAGAGCTGTAAGAGTAACAGTTATATCTCCCTGCATTCAGACTGGACACAGATGGGATAGAGAAATTTGCCTTGTTATTGTGGTCTACTTGGGTCTCTATGTGGCTGGCTTCTGGGCTTCCCTCTTTATGAATCACATATGTAAGGGCTTGAAGGGGACCCCCACACCAGATGGTCACAGAACTCCCTGAAGAGACCACAGAGCCTGGATGAGCCCAGATGCTGGGTTTCTGAAGGTTCCCTGAATAGATGTAGAAGAAAAACAAGAGCATGTCACAGGTCAGTTGCACATTAAAGGTCACATTTGCAATGACACTTAAGCTGATCTACAACAGCAGAAGGACAAATAAACAACTGAATTTCCCTTGACTCATTAGGTTCACTATGATTGTCCACAAGATTGTTTTCACCTCAAGACTAGATTTATCACACATTTGGTGAAACTGTTGTCTATAGCACTGTCTCTTGATCACCTATAACACATCAGGTCCTTCCCTGGGATCCTGTGTCTGTGGTAATATCATTCAAGTCAGGACTGAAGTGTTCTTACCTGAGACCAAGAGCTGTAGGTCATTACTGATCACAGACCACACCTGGGAGTTATTCAGGTAATATCCATAGCAGGTGAACCTCCACCTCTGGTTAGGGGTCACGGGACCCACTCTGAAACTGGCTCCTGAGAGCCCATGGTGTATGTTCTTTAACAACACTGCACTAGAGAACATCTGATCATGCTTTATTAGAATGAATCTGTCATATGCCTGTTGTGACCCACACTGAAGAGTGACATTCCATGCTGGGGTCACCACAGGACTGGGTAGGGCTGACAGGGTGAGTTTGCTGGAGTATATTCCTAGGAAAGAAGAGGAAGCCTGTTAAGTGGAAAACAGAAAGTAAACACTGCCCCCATCTTCTAGAAATTGAAGAGGAGACACCAAGGCAGGCATAGTCCTTTCTTCAAGGAAAGTCCTAGGATTGAAGAATTATTCTCTCACCTGTCACCACGAGTTCTACTGGGTCACTATGCTTTGACCACCCTGAAGATCCATAAGAGTAACACAAGTATTTCCCTGCATGATGTCTTTCCACGGATGCTATGGAGAACGTGGCCTTTTTACTGGGACCTTGTAGAGTTTGACTATCCAAAGGTGCTGGGCTTCCTTCTTTGTAGAGGAAATATAGTTGGGTATTCTTGGTCCCCTCACACAAGATTCTCACAGCTTTCCCTGAAGCAATCTGAGAACGTGGCTCTGCCCGTAAGTTGGGTTTTTTCAGTGTCCCTGGAAGGATGCAGATGAGAAGTGTGATATTGAACAGTTTCTCAGTAAAAGTCAAACTTTCTGCTGCTCTTATACTTTACCAGTGTCTAGAAAAGGAACAGCAATTCCATGGGAAGACTCATCACTCTCCTACTCCTTGAGGCTATCAGAGTTCCCATGCACACTCCCCATTTCTGTACATTGACTGTCACAGTCTGTATGCTGTGTCAATGATCTCATCCCAAGTTGTTCAGACACATAACACACCATGGTCTCCACTGTGAACCTATACCCAACAGAATGTGTTTCCGCAGAGTGTCTGAGGCTTCCACAAGGGAGACCAGCAGCTTCTGGGTTCACTGGGTTCTGACCACACCTGAGGATTACTTGTGGAATAGCCATAGCATTTGAAACTCCACCTTTGGCTGGAGGTCACTGGACCCAATAGAATCTGGCCTGGAAAACAAAAGTGTGTGTATTTCTTGAGCTCTGAGGAGTGGAGAATTTCTGACCATCTTAGTCAAAATGAAACAGTCATAAATTTCATATGAGCTACCAGTGAGGGTCACGGACACTCTTATATTTACAACAGGTTTCTACTGGGTGAACAGGGTGGGCTTGTCATAGACTCCTACAAGAAATAAGTCTGTGCAAACTTAAAGGGGCTCAGAGAGCCTGCCTTGTGTCCCATGGCTGCACATGGAAGGGTTATGCGGATACATCACTTTTTCTTGGGAGTGACATCTGGGACTAAGATTTTAAGTATCCTGTCACCTATCACCAACAGATCTATGGTGTCACTGTGCTGTGTCCATGCAGCAGAGGTGTGAGAGTAACAGTGATATCTCCCTGCCTGCAGCTGTGTCACAGATGGAATGGTGAGGTTTGCCTCATTATTTTGTTGGGGTTTTTTTTTGTTGTTGTTGTTGTTAAAGGGACTTTATTTTTTTTTCAAAACAAAGATATAGAAAGAAAAGTTACTAGAACAGAAGAGCAGTAGGGAATCATTTTTGAGAAGGAGGAATCTTTTCTGGAAAATCAATCTCAACCACTATAGGTAGGCGGTCTCTATGGCTGTCTGGGTTGGACATGGCTTCCTGCTGTGTCTGTCAAGAAAAGGGACACAGTGATTCCCAGTGTAATTTCAGGACTTGTGACATGAAATTGGCAACTTGCTGATGCAGCGTGCTACAAGATCTCACAACAGAATGGATTCCATTCCACCTCTTTGGTGGGGTGTCATTGTAAGACATACTCCTCTTAATTTAATATGACACAAATTTACATCTCACAAACATGAAACACCACAATATTCATATTGAATAGCTAAAGAATTAAGATAGAGTAGATGAAAACCAGAATATGTATCCACATACTGACTATTAAATAGAAAATTCATGGACATAGTACAATAGAAGAAACTAAGGGAATAGCCAGTAAAAATGAAGAAATGTTATTCACGAAGTAGTTAATTTTTTGGGATGATTCAAACTTCCAAAAATATATAGTTGCAAAGTTTTTGTAATGTTGTGCAACAATTAATGTTGTTCAATTTATATGTAAAATAGATTACAATGAAATTCAATTAAATATATCATATTTATGTAAATGAAGCTATATAAGAGAAGTATTTCTACCTTTTCTTATACACAATACCACACTGAATCCTGATTTATTGCTTTCTTTTTTTTGTTAAGGGCTATTTGGATCTGTTGGCCCCAGGAATCCAGGATCCCCTCTTTATATATCACATATATTTGTTTTTCCAGTGTCATCTCACACCAGATGGTAAGAGGACTCCCTGAGGAGATCAACAAGCCTGGCTCAGCCCATATGCGCAATATGTCTCCAACAAAGCCAGGCTATTTTACCACACCAGGCCCTTTATATTTCAACATAGCTGAAGCACAAGATAAAGACATTGAAACTAAATATATGAAGATGATAGAGGTTCTTAAAGAGGAAATGAATAAATCCCTTAAAGAAATCCAGGAAAACACAAACAAATAATCAGAGGAAATTATTAAATCCCTTAAAGAAAGCCAAGAAAAAACAAACAGTTGAAGGGAATGAATAAAAGTGTTCAAGACCTGAAAATGTAAATAGAAGCAAGAAAGAAAATACAAACTAAGGGAATTCTGGAAATGAAAAATCTAAGAATGCAAACAGAAACTACAGAGGCAAGCTTCACCAGGAGATTACAAGAGTTGGAAGAGAGAATCTTCTTGGGAAAAAAAGGTAGAAGAGATGAGTACATCAGTTAAAAAATTTTAAATCTTACACTTCCTGACAGAAGGCATCCAGGAAATCTGGGACACTATGAAAAGACCAGACCTATGAATAACAGGAATAGAAGAAGGAGAATAATGCCGGCTCAAAGGCCCAGAAAATATTTGTAACAAAATCATAGAAAATTTTCCTAACCTAAGTAAGGAGATACCTATAAAAGTACAAGAAGCATATAGAACATCAAACAGATTGCGCCAGAGAAGAAAGTCCCTGGGTCACATAATAACCAAAACACTAACCATACAGAACAAAGAAAAAATAATTTTACTTTGTTTTTATTGAGCTATACATTTTTGCCACTTCCCATCCCTCCTCTCTCTCTCCTTCCAACCTACCCTATGCCCCCACACTCCCAATTTACTCAGGAGATTTTGTCTTCTTTCCTATTCCAAGGCAGATGAACATATGTCTTTCTAGGGTCTTTTTTGTTGCCAAGGTTCTCTGTAGTCTGGTTATCCTTTGCTTTATGTCTAACATCCATTTACAAGTGAGTACATATTACATTTGTCTTTCTGGGTCTGGGTTACCTCACTCGGGATGTTTTTCTCTAGTTTCATCCATTTTGCCTGCGAATTTCAAGATTCCAATGTTTTTTGTTCAGCTGAGTGGTACTCCATTGTGTAAATGTACCACATTTTCTCCTCCTCCACTTTCTTTAGTTGAGGGGCATCTAGACTGCTTCCATGTTTTGTTTTTAGGTTAAGAAAGTTCTTTTCAAAATTAAACAATGGTGAGCATTTAAGCAATTGCTAAAAAAGAAAGATCCACAGGCCACACACCAGACCAGGTAGAAAATAATGGATTCCTGTAGTACAGGAAAATTCAAATCACATCATTTGTTTGAAAACAAAGCAAGGCAATAAAATCAATTCACAACAATATTGGTTTTTAATACATTAAAAATATGAAGTTAATTGATCTAACAGTTTCTGTTAAGTAAACCTAAATACAACCTGATACAGTGTTTCCTCTTAGGTCATACAACAGAATGTGTTTTCAGAGTCTGAGGACAGTTTGATAATTGTCCCAATCTGCATGACGTCAACCTAGAGCATGAGAGTCAGGGATAGGGAATGGGGACAAGAGACGCACACAGAAGGACCACAATACAGGATTCTGATCAAGTGGCAAACTTTACTTATATCAGGAACAGATGAGATAGAGAACGTGGCCTTTTTCTCAGTTTTTAGAATGGCTGTTGGTATCAAATAATCTTGACTTCCTTCTTTGTAGAGACGAATCTCCTTGGCCACCAAGGGTACTTCACACAAAAATGTCAATTGCTCCCCAGCAGCCATCACATTACTTGGCACTGCCCTGAGTGTAGGTTTAGAAATGGTCCCTGAAAGAAATGACAGTTGGTTCCCCAGAGTTCACCCTCAGATACAAGCTCTCAGACCCAGGACTTTTAAAGCCCTCCAGTATCAGGTCACACTGTCTGTTCTCCATCTGCTCTATTCATGAGTTACCTGTGATTCCCCATCATGGTGTACAATCTGGGAGCTGGGAAGACACTCACCTGCCTGGGCTGGGATCCTGATGTCCAGACTCAGTCCTGTAAGAGAGTTACCTGTGAGTATTTGCACTGAAACGGGAGTAGATTATCCAATTCCTGGTAAGGCCCGAATCCTGGTTGTGAGGTGGATTCTCTCTCACACAAGAATTCCTCATCCCAATTTGGTATCTCACCAAGATACAGCAAGACTGTAAGAAATGGGGTCATGGCATCTTCCAGTTGACAGAAGTTTGCAGATAGTTGGTCTCCTTTCCAAACTCACAGACACAAGATGTGTGTCCGCTAAGGGCTTGCTTCTGATCCTTGTCATAAGAATGTCATTAGCATCTGTTGAGAAACAGGAACTGCTCTAACCAGGCGCCTGACACTTCTTCCCTATGCTGTGATGGGTTGGGCTCCAGAATGTATGGCTTCCATGTCTCTGTGGTTCTTTAGCTTCTGTTTTGGTTTCTAAAAAGAACCTCTTAAACTTCATGCATATCCCATACCCCTTCCTCTTCTTCCTGTGCT